CCAAAGCCCGCTTTGAGACCCGCCCATGTTGACCGTTGACCGGTCAACGCTGACCGTTGACCGGTCAACGCTGACCGTTGACCTGGCCCCACATGTCAGCGACACATAGCCGCTGGACCCACATGTTAGACGGTGACGTCACGCGGGGCCCACACGTCAGAAGCCGACACGGCCGAGGTGATGTCATGCTGACGTCACGATGACATCAGCTGCTGACGTCACGATGATGGCAGCTGCTGACGTCAGCTGCCCTGGACCCACACGTTAGTGACCCGTTGACCGTTGACTCGCCGTTGACTTGACGTTGACTTTGACCGGACCCACATGTCATGACCCAAGAGTCCCTGGACCCACCTGTCGGAATTGATGACGTTCTTTACATCACCGACCCCACCGTCACTTCGGAATCGAGATGCTAACGTCATCTTGACGACATCGCGCGTGCCACATGGACCGATCCACAAATATTGACACGTGTCGACCAAGATTAATTCAAATTTTCAATTTTCAGAAATGATTTAAACTTTGGAAATTTATAACTAATTCATATGACCTCAGAAAAATACGAAACTAGGACCAAAATTCATCTAAAATCAAGCTCTACGCAATGAACCCATGTTTGAGTGCATTTGGTTCTTTTGAATTTTCATTGTTTCTTTGTGCTATTTTATAGACGTCGCTAACGCGACTATAATGCGATCGTTTGTAAACTCGGAGGAGAACCGGACGGACAAGGATCGTGAGTACCGTGAGGAGTACGGAGACGACTACACTGAAGGTGCCACATCCCACCAAATCTCATAGCACCTATTACGCATGGCTAAGATAGAAATGCTAGTGCTTTACTTCATTGTTATAATCACACTATGAGAGGACTTGCATGGTAGTATGCTTTTTTGATGGCTTTTACCTTGACGCAACCTTACCCCTGCTCACCCTGCTGTTAGGCTAGTCACACGCTTGCTACTATATTTCATTGCTTATTACTTCTACTACGCTTGCACTACATTGATGCGTGGTGGAAACTGGTGTTATCTGTACTATAGAGAGAGTGTTGTGTGTGTGACTTGGGTGCGTGGAGGGTGAGGATTGTGTCGACCAAGTTAGAGTATACGACGAGCCTAGGGCAAGTCTTGCCGTGGGGTGCTACCTAGGCACCCCTAGAATGGATACTTGTGGTGGGTAAATGGTATATGAGGTGGCCCTGGGTATGATCCTGTGATGGGAGAAGCCCAGGGTGGAGGTGCTGTGGTGGCACGAAAAATAAAAACCCTGATGAAGACATTCTGGCTTGGTCATCCCTAATAACTTACTAGTACTCAGATTCACCGGGAAGCCTTACGCACCACTCGCCCTATATGGTGCGGGACGGCTGGACTACTTGGTAGGATATTGCCATTACTGCTAGGTTGATAGCGTACAGTGTAAGGGAGGTACGGGGTGCGGAGGATTTCCCCCACACCCTTTCGAGACTTCATAGAGACCTTGTGGACCCGGCTCATGACTCACAGTTTCAGCCACCCCAGATTAGACTTGGGGTGTACCAGGGCTGAATGGTAGAGTTGCATTATCCTAGGCTAGCAAGAGGCCAGAATCAGCCCAGTTGACGACGGTCAGCGAGGAAGGCGGATCTTGTGGTTATGTAAAACCTCTGCAGAGTGTATGATTGATGATCAATACATATGCCGACTTGTCGGCTATGGACCTTTTCTGGGTTTCGCTTAAACTAGATAGTGAGATGAGTCCTTCTCTTCTTCCCCCGGGAGTGAGTGTTCGGACGTAGCTAGGGGCTACGGGCCTTGAGATAGTGCCGAGAGGGAGTTGGCCTGTCGACTGAGTGATGGTATGGGAGATGTATGGTGATGGTGTGGAGATGGTGTATCGATCCCAGGATCGAAACCTGGCTCTGAAATAGGAATGGGGTGGAATAGGTGTGGGAATGATGTTAAAACTTGACCAACTATTATTATGTACTTAATATGCTAATACATAGGAAACCCCAGCCTTATAGATTCCTTTTGATTATACCCAACTTGCATCCAATTTCTACAAAGCAATGTTCATAGGGTGGGAGTGGCCAGTACAAATCGTACTGATAAATTTTGGCACACAGGTTCTGCTGAGGAGTATAGCTCCGAGGAGTTTGACGGTTGAGGGGTTCGTTCCTACGCTCGAGTTTGATGATCTTATCTTCAAGCTGTTCTGAATGAATGCTACTTTTGATTCCGCTAATGCGGCGATGTAATAAATTTATATAATTCCGCACTATTTGTACTCTGATATTATTGTTGTATAGATATGATATTCAACTGAAATTTGGATAATATGATCTACAACAATCTTATTATACTTCAACTCAGCTCGCTTCACCCCTCGCCGTCTCCGTGCGCAACCCCAAGTGGGTCGTGTCGTGCGCGCCGAGCATGCTGCGCTGCTAGCTCCAGGCCGACCTTCGATTCGCCAGCCGCCGCGCGCTTCGACGACGCACAACTAGCCAACAGCCCGAGGAGAGCGAGTGCGCTCTGGTTGAGCGCGACCGAGGCGCGTTGGGGAGCAACGGCATGGCGGAGCTGCATGCTCAGGGACACCGTGTCACGAATCACGATTCACGGCAAATTTTGGTGTAGATTTCGTCGATCTCCACTCGCTGCCGGGGGCGGACGCTGTAGGGGCACGTACAGTACGTCTTGTCTCACGGAGGCCGTGGTCGGGCTTCGGGCATGTGGCGGTGCCGTACGGCGTGCATGCGCTCCGCACCTCGGCAGTCGCTTGCAGGCGTCACAGAACTGCTTGTGACCGGGCCGCGGCTGTACACGCCGAGGTTCTTGGTGACGCAGACGTGCGCACACCACGCAGGACGAGACCCTGCGCGTGGCGGTTTCGTCATCGGCTCATCGCTCTCGGCCCCCGCGATGGGATATCTATTCGAGTAATAGAGTCTGAGTATATGCTTGTCATGATAGCAAGGATAAATTATCATTTCTGATTTTCTGTCATCAACTAACTGCTGTAAAATGGCACATAATAAGAGATATATAAAAATGCAATTCGATGAAAGTGATACTAATTTCCACCAATGGCATTGAAGGAATTTTCTCAATTTTCTTTGGACACATCATCAGCTATCTAAAATTTTCCAAGTCCTCGCTGTCACCATCCCATTAGTAGCACATGGCGTAATGGGTACCGCACCTACTGCCACTACAAGGCTCCCAACATCTACAACGACGTCCAGTAGTCCCCCAGCATGATACAACGACGTCCTGTCGTCCCCCAGCATGATTTGGAGCATCTTTGGAGACGGGGACACACGATTTGGTGCAGTCGAGCCAAGTTATCAACAACCTAGTTGTTAAGGCGTCGCTATACCAACACCATATCGTTGTGGCGTTTTTCTGGCTCTCGCCACGGCTCCGGCGTGTATGGCGTCCGCCATAGCGCCGTGGCGTCCCCGTGGCGCCGATTTGGTGTCCTATGGCGCCTTTGTGCGCTGTGGCGGGCGCAATAGACGGTGAGGGTGAGGGTGAGGCCGTGAGGGTACCTGTATAGGCCGAGTGGCCGATTGAAGCCCTCCGAGACCGAGCCCGAGACGCAACCGCAAGCAGCCCTCCGAGCTGCCGCCGCCGTCGCCCGCCGGGACGGTCGCCCTCCGCCCACCCCCGCCTAGAAATCTGTCCGCTTCGCCCTCCGTCGGCCTCCCCCGCCCTTTGTTGGCCTCCCCCGCCCTCCGTCGGCCTCGCCCGAGCCCGAGCCAGCCGCCCCCGCCTGGATCCGGCCACGGGTCGAACGTCTTCATCTTCTCAGGTTCCGGCAACGGCTCCGGCTGCTCGCGATCTCCTTCCTCCCTCCTCCGGCTTCGCTTCTGGTGAGATGGGAGACCGATGGGGGGCGAATGGGAATCTCCTTTGATCTCCTCTCGTGGATGCTCCTGCTCCCCCCCTCCCCCTCGTGGCGGCGGTGTGGTGACCTGGTAGGGTTAGGACTTGAACGGGCGAGGTGAGTGGCAGACTGGCAGGCTCAATCCTGTGGCCTGCTGAGTCGGAAACAGACGCAATTTCTTTCCTGTTTCCATAACGGCCCATTTGGATCCTTAAAACCGAAACCCAGCCTAGTCTAGAAATCAGAAGTTCCTCAACGTGATAAATGTTGAAGTGTTTGTTTTGTTTAATTAAACTCACTAGGAAGATGAAATGTACCTTTTAAGCTACATTTGCATTACCATTTGTCAATATAATTTCCTAATATCCTAGACTATAATGTATGTATTCGCCACGCCGATGTGTGTACGGCGTCGTCACGCCGCGCGCCATAGACACTATAAAGGTGTGAAGGTGGTGGGTCGCCGCACCTCGCCATGCCGCCTGTAAAAACTATGATCAACAAAAGGATTTTTTTTGAATCCAGACGGGCCGTCATTTGTAGTCCCCCAGCATGGATATTACAAATAATATCCACCGTCTATCACAAATTCACAACCCTAGTTTGACAACAGATCGACACAAGATTGCGCCCAGCTGAAAGGACTTGGCGGTTTTGCCACACAAATCTCTCACCGCCAGGCGAGCTATTGCACGCACTTGGAATGTTTTAACTCGCACACAAGTAAAATACTCATCGACTTTTCAGGGCATAACAGAGAAGGTATGGAATCAAGGTGAAATACAGTCATTTTTTGTACAAATTCAAGAGACCACCTTCTTGGAGGAAGTCAACCAGGCATGAGGAATCCTCCTCGCTACGCTTCTTCAGGTAGCCATGGCACACGCATGCATGATGTATATATGGTACACACTCTCCTTGGCATCTTGGTCTCCGACCTCCAGATAGGCAGGTACAGAAGAGGTCGGCAAAGGCATGCGATGCCAGAGGCTTACATAGGCTAAAGGTAAAGTACCGGTTACATTCCCCGTTGCTCAGATGAGAGAACAAACCTTTAGGGAAAGGCCTCGAAGGCCGCAAACTAGAGCCATATAATGTCTCAGAACCGAGTTTGATCACGGCTACACATCTTCCTGCTGCGGAGCTGGGGCTGGGAGCGGTGGCGATTTGGGCGTCTGCTGCTGATCTTCAGATTTGTTGTTCACTTTGATCTCCAGGAGACGCTCAACAGGCTGCCTGCAGATGGGGCACCGAGTGGTCTGGTACCTCAGGACCTTGGCGCATTCACTGCACATGCACTGCAGTAAAGACAGAAATAAAAATGTCAGGGTTTAGCACATATGCTAATGCAACACTAATCAGCTTTGAGAAAATGGAAGTTGCTTAGACATCAGTATGGTACTGCCCGCTTTTCTGGACCAATATTCCGAATATGGAATACTGTAGATCATACAGTTGGGAACCTGGGAAGCATATATTATCAAAAGATAACTCTGTGTTTAATCTGGAATACAGTCAAATAATGAAAACTTATACCATGTTACTTCAACAATTGACCGCTAGTTTCTAAAAAAAAAAAGTGCAGTCCTTGAATAGATTGCCAGCAGACTTACCATATGCCTACATGGGAGGACAGTAGTATCCCTTGGCTCTGAGAGGCAAATAACACATTCTTTCCCTGGATCATTTGCATCAGCATCACCTTCCATGGAGTTCCCTATGCCATATATTTCTTGCAGTTCATACCTAGTTCCATTGACCCAAAGGATCTGGCAAACAACTCTTACCTGATAATCCCCATTTTCTTTCTTTTCAAACACGGCCTGGGTGATCTGTGAGTTGGGAGTTTTCATCTTTTGGTCATCCCCTTCTGGTGGGTGATCAACAGACAATGCTGTTTCAGCTTTAACTGCAAGTGGGTATACATCCACGTCCCCCTGCTTTAATAAATCTGATTCTTCAAACACTGAAAAATCAATTCCTGTTCCTGAAGGTTGCCTGAATTTTTGACCAAGGCCCTCTTTGAAGCTAACAGTAACGGGCTTAATTAGGTCTTCTTTCACTGCTGTTAGATTGCAGTTGAGCTCTTCCTTTGCGAAGAAGTAAACAGTCATGCTGTTCAAGGAAGCAAACAAAAAAAATTGGTCACCTTACATAACAGCAAGAATAGAACTTTTGTTAGTAATAAGAAATTCAAGCTGCAAGGTTTGTCTCGTGCTGTAAAACGAATTTCCTACATAGTAAATAGCTGTGCAGCTTTTAGCACAAAGCCCTACAACCAAAAACTATGTAGAAGTATACTATGTTTGAAGTTGAACCAAGGGTTAAGTTAGTTAAGTAGGGAGTTGTGATCATTATTATTATGAAAACTATAAAAAAAAGGGCGTACCCAGTGCAGAGAGCTCCCGCTCTGTGCGGGGTCTGGGGAAGGGTGTCAGTGGCAAGCCTTACCCTCGCCTGTGCAATGCGAGGAGACCGCGACTCGAACCCGGGACCTTCTGGTCACAGGCGGTAAGACTCTACCGCTTGCACCAGGCCCGCCCTTCCTATTATTATGAAAACTATGATTCAAGAAAATATTGCAATCAATACAAATGGCAGATTCTTCTGCCATTAAAAATTTAGGACCCCATTACACTGTAAGCTTTAGGATAAATTAAAACATCTAAGTGGCAACAACAATAGGTACCAACTTCTAACAAACAACCGACATGCTGCAAAAACGGTTCAGCTCAAAATGTTCCAAAATGGTTATGGAATATTAGAATTAATACTAAAGCAAGGCTTATAGCTTTGACCCTATAGTAACTAGTAATGCTGCTCTACAACAACTGAGTCTGTTGAAAGCTCAGGTATTTAGTACACGCCTGGAAATGAAGGAAATATTTAAATGCAGGACCAATCAAGTTAAGAATCAATGAACAGGAAATGATACACGAGAAGCAAAGTGGTAGACATTAGGGCATACAGAATCTCTAGTGTTAACTGCTGACAATTCATTTGACAGCAGGGCATCTAGTGTAAACTTGACGATTGACATCAAAATTTCATTTTTTTTACCAAGAAAAGTGAGTTATATCTCCAATCAAGTTTCAAGACATGATCACCCTACAGGTCTAGAGCGAAGAACTTATGCAGAAGGTCGTAGCTAGGGCTAGCAACTAGCATACTGCAGAGTCCTTTGCAAGGGCTAGCGCTAATCTACTAACAAGGATAAATAGATACTCGGATTGGGAAAAAAGGAGAAGCTAAACATTAAGGTAATGCTGTGACAGGTTAATGCATAATGGAGAACTTATTGTTGGCTTGTATGCTTCCATAAAAACAGATCTCTAGGAGGGGACATGGTGCTCCCTTTGTATAGTTCTCTCTAGTTTCTTTTATTAGTTACAAATTGAATTTTCAGTCAACAAATAAACGAAGGTCAACGATAACTAAAACAGGTCCCCAACCTCAAGGACTGAAAGCATCACCTTCACAAGAGGCTGATTCCTCAAACCATCAACATCAATACACAAAGCAAAGCCATATAGATCAATACACAAAACAAAACAATATAGATTGCAGCAATTTCGCACATGTCCTAGCAAAGTAGATACCAGGGATGCATACAAGAAATACAAAATAGAATACAACATATGTTTAATGTTAAGTGAGACTGAATAAGTGAATAATCACCTGCCAGCGACGGTGGCATCAAAGGTGAAGGCGACGAGGAAGTTGCCAGGGCACTCTTCATCAGGCTCGATCCGAAGCGTCTCCTTCTTAAGGTTGACGTCGTTGCGGATAGTGACGGCCTTCTGGTGCTCAACGTAGGGCGTCGGCATAGGCAGATGCGGGCCGTAGGAGGGATACCGCCCAGCCCAGCCGGGGTAGTGGTGGGGGTGAGCGGGGGGCGGGGGCGGGAACTCGCCGGGGGCGGCGGTGGGCGGCCTGTGGTGGTGGTCGTACGGCGCCGGAAGGGGCACCGGCACGGATGGCGGTGGCGGCGGGTAGTAGTTCCCGTACTGCGGGTAGTACTGCGGCGGGTTGGGGTTAGGGTACTGGGGCGGGTACGGCGTGGCGGCCGCGAACACGTAGCGGTTGGGCGCAGTCTCCTGCGGCTGGGGAGGCGGCGGCGCCTGGTGGTGGTGGCCGTGGCCGTGGCCGGAGCTCCGACGGCGGTGACCAGCGGCGGCGCCTCCACCGTTGCTACCCGCGTTACCCATCCTCTTGCGCAGATCGATGCGGATAGCTCGGGAAAGGCCTCAGAATTGGATCTTGAGGCCTGGGCGCATCGGAATTGCAGACTGCCTCTTCTACTCTTGAGAAAGCTCGCACAAATAAGCCAAAAAGAAATCGGGGGAGAAAAAAAGGCTCGCGAAGAACTCCTCCGACTCCGAGGATCACAAGCTCAAAGGGGAGAGGGATGGAATTGGATCCTCGCGCAAATGGTTCGAGCGATTCGATCGGGGTTGCGGGGGAGGAAAGGAGGAGGAGACGATAAGGAAGTGCTCACGCTTCTTGCTTTTCCGCGTGTATTTTGGGCGTTATAATGGAGGGTTGCGCGGAAAGCACCACCACTGTCCTCCGTTGCATTTCCGGTGGTTAAGGTTTGGCACACGCAAAGAAAATATAATTACCATGAGGTCCTCATCATTTTCTCCACATGCATCTTGTTTTTTACATGCATCCGCGACTTACGGCAAAAAATTCTTTCGACCGCGTGTGTGTGATCTTGTATACTCACTCCGACTGAAGCGCGACTTAAGACAGACATGGATTTTTCTCTGAGGTATAGGATGAACTTCTAAGAACACGTGTATAATATTGTAACCAAAGCGCGAATTACGCAGAATGGAGTTTCTTAAGGCACAAGATAAACTTGTACGGGTGTGGTTTTTAAACTAAACCATGACTTTGCATATAGCGGAGTTTTCATAAGACTGGACAAATTTCTAAATAACTATATGTTAATGTTGCTATGACTGACCACATGTCATCCGAGGTTTGCCTTTTAGGCTTACAATAACAGAATTTTATTGCTAGCAGCGTCTAAGTTTCATCCAATTTCTAACCATGCAGAGGCATAGCACCGTGAAGTGTACAACTGTAGCACCTGATTTTAAGAATAAAATCATATACACATCATATATGAGCTCAAAAAGTCAAATTTCACATATAAGTACAAATAAAGAGTAATATCAAAAGACAATACTTACCGTAACGTATTATTATATGAGATATAACCTTAGACTACAAACAGCGGAAAGACACTCCGTTCTTCATCAGGCGAAGACTCCAATTTCACAGGGACAACTGACTGGTTGATCACAAGCCTAACTTTTTCAAACTCTAGCAATCTAGTATCTATCCGGAATTTTTATCCAAATAATTAAAAAGTAAAGCAAGCGTAAGTACATATTATACTCAACAAATATAACATGAGGTTTACGATGCTCAAAAGGTAGACACTGGTTTAACTGCATTAGCTTTTAGTGAGTCATCTTTTAGCATTTGAGTAGCAACAAGTTTATCACAGTCCATGTAAATACATGATCAGGTAAACATGAATTATAAATAGCATAAACAATTAATTAATAGTGATCATCTATTCCATAATGGTTTCAAGGCCGCTCGTGACCATGAGCACGACTAATATACCAGTTTTACACTCTGCAGAGGTTGTACACTTTCACTGTGAGTCGTGTTTTCCACTTGTCGGGGGTTTGCAAGTGAACAAAACACTACCAAGGTGACCAGGCAGGGTGTACTATGAAGCCTTTCAAAGGTTCGTCTAACAAGTTAGGACCGCTAGGTTTTCAATTGACAAACAGATGTAGAGCTCCTCTTCTAAATGGCACATTCCGCGCATGCTATACACATAAAGACAGAGTCCGCACTATACCCGATTCATCAAGCCCCTCTTGCACCATAAAGGTAACCACTAACAAGCTAGAAAATGTCCTTATACTGAGCGAAAGCCAGAGCCATTTGGCCTTCACAGTTGTATTGTAAGTCCCGGATGATCACTTACAGATAAGTCCTTAAGGAGAGGAATCTGAAGCATCTGGAAAGTAGTCAAACACTCTAGCCTCCTTTAACCATATTGCTAAAAAGTCATCTTCTAGTGGTTATTGCATATTCCATTAGTCAAGTTACAAGATCATGACTTTAGTTGAGCACTAGCATCGTACTACCTAATGCAATAACCCATAGATGACAAGGAATCCATGATATTAAATAGCTAGTAAAATTACTACTGTTGTCAAGGTAGACACATGCATATGATTAAGTTATTAAAGTGAATAGGACAACAAGGATGATCACATGCTATACTTACCTTAAACTCTGATCCTTCTTCTAGTCCAAAGCTTTAAAGGAACTTTTTATCAACGCGTAAAGCTCATCGACTGGACAATATCATAAAGCACCATACAAGCATCCACACAAACATGCATAACATACAAAAAGGACTAAATTAGAACGGTACATCAATCAATAAAAAGGTTTGAAAACTAATCTACGTATTGCTACGAACATACAAACATGAAAAGCACGCTAATCGAAGCTACGGTGAATAAGAAACGTCTATCGTAAAATTTACTTCTTAAGAGAAAAAGAAGGTTTTAAGATTCATTTATTTTAAACGTGTATAAGATATTTCATATAAGTATCTAAATTGAATTAAACCAAGTTATATTTGATTTGAAAAACTAAAATGGATCTAATCTTATTTTTACTTAATGTTAAAGTGGAAAGGCTAAGTTGCTTTTAATTAGAAAATCAATTGCGTATGGACTGATCAAACTAACATTTTATTTGAAAGCATAAAATATGTTAAACAATGTTACTAAAAGAGAGTTAGGTGCGACAGTCACAAGATCACAGAAAACGCTGAGAACGGAGCTACGATTAAAAGGCCGACTACCAAAAAGTTTTACATTATAAAAGAAACAATTACGAGCTTGATTTATGTTAATTAATAAAACTATGTGAGTAGTATTAATTCAGATTAAACAAAACTTATTTAATTTTACAAGTCGAGTTAAAGCTAATCATATTTTATTTATAAACATTTTAAATTTTACATTGAAAAGAAAATAACCATACAAGAGCATCTATATGAATCATTATATGTATCGTGTTTAAACTAATCAAATTATAATTACAAACACATATGTTAACATTAATCAGGTTAATATTTATTTTTGAAAGATCAATGTTTGCTTATATTGCTTTTAATTATAAAATTTGCATGTATATTAATCAATTTAATATTTAATTATAAACACATAAGCGGGTGGCATAAAAATACCGCTACTAACATGTAGATCACGTCGACACGAATCTAATGTAACTTGAACGGAGCAAAACGGAATTAAAATGAATAGACTAGAGCTAAATCGATTGGATGGCAGAGGTTTGAAACTGCAGATCTATGTATGAAACATGGGTAGTAAAGGGTTCTAGATGACCATGGACGAACTGATATCAAAAGAACTGAATTTGCGTTAGTGTTTGAAGAGCTAGATAATAAATAGTGCATAAAAGATAGATGATTAGAAGAGCTTGTTATACGCAAAGGTGTACCAGGTGGACATGCTGCTCACGTACGTAGGCATGCACGGCCTAGGCCTTTGCTTGGTCACTGGAAGATGGAGGAAGGTTGCATGCAGGCGGGCATACGGCGCTGCTCAGATCGCCGACAAGATGCAGTTCGGCAAGAACGGGAGTTGACCAGCTGGGCGATGGTGAGCTGCAGCAAGTGCAATAAAAGTTCAACGAGGAAACTGAAATTAACAGGACGTCAGGATGTGGAAATCATGGAGTGGCTCACCCAAGATACAGCTGCGACAGGGATGACGGCTGGATGTAGAGGAGATGACAGCGGCTTAGTCTTCCGATGACGATGGTTCTTGAGAGGCAGGCCTCGGAGCCGAGGGCCATGGAGAGCGAGTAGGCACGGCCGAAGGCGGCGGCTCTTGAACATGGCTTCCGTCGGCTGGACGGTGTTGCGAAGCGAGACGTCGGAGAAAGAGGACGAAAATCTAATTTACTATCTTAGGGTTTCTTGAACCGGAGGCTTTTCTTACGATAGTCTTGGTGTAATTTGCGCAAAGAGTTGGTACATATATATATATGGAGGAAAACTCCTCACCTTTACATCAACTAACAATATGATATTAATTGATGTTGCACCATCTACCTTCACTAATAGGCCTAAATAATCATTTAAGCCCATTAGTAAATAAAGACCTGGGTCTTTGAGAGTCGGGGAAAATTGGGCTCGGATTTTTCTAATTTCGGGATTAATTAATATCATGGAATAAAAATAATTATAGAAAGTCTGGTATTACCATTTATATCACGAAAAATGCTCCAAAGCTTAGAAAAATCCTGAAGGCAAATTGAAGGATGAAGAACTCAAGTAAAATATCTGGAGCTCATGAAAAGATTGTTGGGAACTTGGAACATAAAGATTAAGGTCAAGGAGGTAGGAATTAAATTCCAAAAAAAGCTGGAAAATTCTTAGAGATAGATATTCGTCTCCTAAACGCATTTAAAAAATATATTTTGCACATAGAAACACATGTGTGACCGGCATGAATGCAACAAACATGTTTCTACCTTAAGATAAATTTTAATTTAATAAAAAATTATTATTTCCCTATGTTTTCGTGAGCACAAAAATACAAAATCAAATTAATTTGACCCTATTTTCAAAGGTGAAAATTTTAGGGTGTTACAACTATATTGATTGGTTTATCTAATAATTGGCATTGATCGTTGGAGAGATTAGCATTTATCACATGGCTCTAAATCACTAAGAGGTTTGAATATAACCAGTTGACATCAAACTTTTATAGCACAGCGAGCTACGCTTGCTTGATTATGTTTCTCGTGGTGAAACATGTTACCTATGATTGAGTATCTGACTTGTATGAATGCTCGTATTTTCAACATGCCCATCGACAACGCCAAAGCGAGATATTTATGGTGACTTTGACAATCTTTCATAAGATGTGCACGCATTTGGGTTGTATTTCATTCATTAAAAGAAAAGGGTGAAACATTAAAAAAAATATTTCCAAGGTGTATGCTAACTAAATTCCACATATTTCTAGAGTGAAACCTCCACGTTCAAATATGCTGAATGGAAATTTTACTGCAATAAATAATATCTGCAATTGAATAAAATGCCTTAAACTTGTGCTTACAATAAACC